CCAGCAAGCATATGAAGAAAAGCTCACTATGTACTTTAATCATATAAATGCCATGAAAACTGCAACTCTGTCTACACTATTGATTTGAACAATATCTGCTACATAGAAGGTTCTCAAATATCTCCTGAGTGAATGAATGATGAATGAATAAATACATAAGTAAATGTATGAATGAATCATTTAGCAGAAGGGCTAAAACTGATTCTCATTGAGTTTGGTGTCCACCCCTAGTGGTAGTGCATGGTGTGGCTGCCTCTCTAGCATCATATGGATTAAGAGTGGATATATATATATTTTTTTTTTTTGGTCAAGAGTCTGGATCTGTCACCTAGGTTGGAGTTGCAGTGGCATGATCTGAGCTCACTGAAACCTCCACCTCCTGGGTTCAAGTGATTCTCCTGCCTCCGGCTCCCAGGTACCTGAGAGCCAGGCAGGCACCACCACACCTGGCTATTTTTGTATTTTTAGTAGAGATGGTGTTTTAGCATGTTGGCCAATCTGGTCTCGAATTCCTGACCTCAAGTGATCTGCTCGCCTTGGTCTCCCAAAGTGCTGGGACTACAGGTGTGAGCCACCACATGCAGCAAGAGTAGAATATTAAGAGTGAATTTTTTAAAGAAAATCCAGATGCTGTTGCCCGAAGAAAAGAGATTGCTGAGCAGTTGAGCAATCGATATTCATCATATCATTCCCTCTTTCCCTTTTCCGTCACCAGTGCCTGCACACTAATATCTTGGAATAGGTTGTTTATATCTTCTACTTCCTTCTTTCAAAATGTTAATAATTCTTCTTTTGATATCAAATCTGTCTTTAATTTATTTATTGCCCATACCACTACATTCCTTGATGCTGATCTTCTTGCTTCTATGACTTTCCATTACCCTGGATCTCATCAATATGGCTTTTATAGTCACGTCTTAAAACAACAACAAAAACACATGCTATTTTATTTTGTTTCTAATCAGACAGAAGCTGTTAAAACATTTATAGTTTTTTCAACAGAAATACTTTTGCCCAGTCAGACTTGTGTCTTTATTCCTACTCCTTGTTGCCTCTTTCTGAACACATTTGGTTCATGTTTTCAGAGAATCTACAATCTTAGTTGAAAAATTCATTTTACAAATAAGCCAGGCAGGCACCACCACGCCTGGCTAATTTTCGTGAGAGACATACAGGGGAGAGGATTCTTTGTGTTAAGTCCTAGGGAGGTTACCCAAACAGAGCAAAAGTCCAGCATAACTGTCTCTGGACTCTGGGTCTTATACCCTAGGTCTGAAATCCTCCTTTATGCCAACCTATTCTTCAGTGTATCCTATGCCCTTTCTCTCTTGTCTTTCAAACACTGCTGTGTCCTTCTATGCAGCTGAGCTCTAACTCTGTAGAATTTGCCAGATTATGTAGCATTCACAGAACTCCAAATATAGGTAAAATTACTAGTTACATCATGCACTTCCATAGTTCCTTTTAATGCTGCCTTTTGCAATAGCTTTTCAGATTTTATTTTAGGCCTCATGAGATTGCAAATATCTTAGGGACAGTGTTTCAGGAGAATTTTTGTGTTGCTTTTCTAAATATTTACATAAAACCTAGCAACATGCTAAGCATATAGTTAATTTTCGTTAAAATTGTTTAACTTGAAACAATTGGTGGCTTTTGTTGAGCATTATTTAAGATCATAAATTTTAGATGAACCCATATCCAATTGCAGATTTAATTCAAGTGATTTTGGTCAAGGATTCTAATTGTTCTTGCATTTGAAGCAAGATTGGGTTCAGAGAACCAATAGAGATCTTAAAATAGAACCATGATTTCATAGAATACTTAGTTAGATTTCTGGATTCTTTGTAAAACTAAAAGCTGGCTAGAAAAGTACCTACAAAGAAAGAAAATGTATTTTTAGAAATGTTTTTTCCTGATGAAATTGTGTCAACAAGATTCAATGAGGATGCCCTGTTTAGTGTTAAAATTCAAGACCTCCTGCTCAAATCGTCTTGTTTTATGAAGGATTACAGAAGGATATGGCTATTTTTAAAAGGGAGTGGTAATATGCAGTTCGCTGGACAGCAGGGGTCATCACTGAGGAATATCTCAATTTTTAAAACATGTAATAGTTCATGTTATAGACTAAACATTATCTATTATGTAGATTGCTGGTACCATCTAACATTCATATAAAATTGTTTAAATGCAGAGAAAATCTTTCAATATACTTCTCATGATTACTAGGCCTTACATTACACATTTTGTATTTTGGAGGGCAAGAATTTGACGGGAATGCAGGTTGGGTAACAGATCTACAAACTTGCATTTGTGATGCTTGGATGAACTTAAGCCAATGCCTTCAATTCCAAAGCTATTCTGTACTTTTTTATTAAAAGCGTCTCTCCATCCTCCCATCACCTACATTAGGTATTTCTCCTAATGTTATCCCTCCCCAATCTCCCCACCCCCTGTTATACCTCCCCTAGCACCCCACCTTGCAACAGACCCCAGTGTGTGATGTTCCCCTCCCTGTGTCCATGTGTTCTCCTTGTTCAACAACCACTTATGATTGAGAACATGTAGTGTTTGGTTTTCTGTTCTTGTCTCCATTTGCTGAGAATGATGGTTTCCAGATTCAGCCATGTCCCTGCGAAAGAGTCAAACTCATCATTTTTTATAGCTGCATCGTATTCCATGGTGTGTATGTGCCACATTTTCTCTATATCATTGATGGGCATTTGGGTTGGTTCCAGGTCTTTGCTATTGTAAACTCTTTGCTCTTTGCTAATGAGATTACTGGGTCAAATGGAATTTCCTTTTCTAGATCCCAGACTCTAGAATCACCACACTGTCTTACACAATGGTTGAACTAATTTACACTTCCACCAACAGTGTAAAAATGTTCCTATTTATCCACATACTCTCCAACATCTGTTGTCTTCAGATTTTTAATGATCGCCATTCTAACTAGTGTGAGTTGGTATCTCAATGTGGTTTTGATTTGCATCTCTCTAATGACCAGTGATGATGAGCATTTTTTCATTTGTTTGTTGGCCTCATATATGTCTTCTTTTGAAAAGAATCTGTTCATATCCTTCACCCACTTTTGAATGGGTTGCTTTTTTCTTGTAGAACTATTTTAGTTCTTTGTAGATTCTGGATATCAGCCCTTTGTCAGATGGATAGATTGCAAAACTTTTTTCCCATTCTGTTGGTTGCCTGTTCACTCTAGTGTCTGTTTCTTTTGCTGTACAGCATCTCTGGAGTTTAATTAGACCCCATTTGTCTATTTTGGCTTTTGTTGCCATTGCTTTTGGTGTTTTAGTCATGAAGTCCTTGCCTATGCCTATGTCCTGAATGGTATTGCCTAAGTTTTTTATGGTGCCAGGTCTGATGTTTAAATCTTCAATCCATCTGGAGTTAATTTTAGTGTAAGATGTCAGGAAGGGGTCCAGTTTCCACTTTCTGCACATGGCTAGCCAGTTTTCCCAACACCATTTATTAAACAGGGAATCCTTTCCCGATTGCTTGCTGTTGCCAGGTTTGTCTAGGATCAGATGGTTGTAGGTGTGTGGTGTTACTTCTGAGGCCTCTGTTCTGTTCCATTGGTCTATATCTCTGCTTTGGTACCAGCACCATGCTGTTTTAATTACTGTAGCCCATGGCATGTGTATAGCTATGCAACAACCCTGCAAGGTCTACACATATACCCGAGAACTTAAAGTGAAATATAAATAGAAATTAAAAATAATAAAATAAAATAAAATGTACAAGATACTGTATGGAAGAAAAAAAAGAAAAATCTCTCTTTCTTAATTTTGTATTAGTAGTCTAACTTTAAAAAATAATTATTAGAGTTTTTTTTTTTAAGACGGAACTCCTGGTTTTGTATAGAAGCAAATTCAATCCTCAGGTAAAGAAGACAACATAATATTAACAACGTAATATAATGCCTGTGTTGCACCTTTTCATTATTTAAAAAATAATTTTAAAATTATTTGTATTAATTTCAGATAATTTAAATAAATCTAAAAGAAAATATCTTCTAAAAGATAATGCTAAAACTTCAAGTTATCTATTACAGGGACATTTAGAATGAATATATGAAGTTGAAACTGCTCATGTTAAAAATAGTACAAGCTTTCATTTATTTGAATTATATCCTCTAAAATATAATAGTTTCTTTCTTTAAATCCTCCTTGAATTATAACTTTATACTGATATTTTCCTTTTTATCAGATGATAATCTTTTTCAGTTGAGCATATGGTTTCACACATCCCTGAATATCCCATATTATCTTGTTCTAACTTATTATAAAATAGATAGTTTGTAAATCCTTGTTGAAATACTGTTATGTATGTCCCCTCCCCCTTAAAATCCACTTGTTCTCCATTGGGGGAAAAAGAAAAGACAATGTGAACTTTCAATATCAGATAAATTTCATGGATAATTATTATTTTGACAGAATCTTTTATAATGAGAAAAATTGAACATGTTTCTCATCCATTGAACAAATTCTCTAAATCTGTCTACTCCAATTAAAGGTAGCAAACCCTGACCTCTTCACAACATGTTCAATTGTTCTTATCTCACTAGTGTTGAAATGTTATCTTTAAATTTCTAATGGTTTTATGGGAGAAAATGTGGAGGAGAATTTTAGAAAGCAAAACATAAGGCTTGATTCTATAAAAAGCATTTATTGTATAAATTAAGTGCAAAATGTTAGAACTCATTTAAATGTGTATGGAACACAACAGTAGATGCCATATAGTCTTTCATTCTTTTAACATGTATTTACACCCGTGAAAGGACCCAGAGAAAATCTAACCAGTTTTCCATTTAAAACTGGACTTATTTTCAAATTAAAAGTAGGGAAGTCGTTTTCTTAAAATTATTTATGGTGTAAGAAATTGCAAGCCCTACCATTGGATAAAATTTGTGTTTATTCTATCCTATAGGGAACATGATTGTTACTAAAGTATTTTTCCCAATTTTTGAGATACCGTTTCTTTTCCAGGCATTTCCTGGAAACGTTAACTCTGATGGTGTTGTCCGCCATGAATTACAGCATCCAATTATCGCCCGCTATGTGCGCATAGTGCCTCTGGATTGGAACGGAGAAGGCCGCATTGGGCTCAGAATTGAGCTTTATGGCTGTTCTTACTGTGAGTACCACATTGTTTACATTTGTGGCAGGTTTTGTTATCTTTATTTAAATAGTAAGCTGTTTCATTTTAAAGTATTTAACATTACTTGCTTTCTCTGACAATAAACTACCTTCTTGTTTACATATATGTACATGCATATATATATATATATTATATATATATATATATAAATACAAGGTTGTTTTCTTATTTGTGTGTTATAACTGTATATTATAAATACACACCGAAACTAAGAGACATGTCACTATGTCTTAATTATACTTTAGGTTGAAGATTTGGAAAGGTTTTTTTTTTGCTCAATAGACTAAAATTATAAAGCTTATTAATAAAATTGCCTGGTCTTATGAAATATTTAAAAAGGAGAAAACTATATTGTTATTCATTTATTTGGGTCTTTTTCGTTTTTCTGAGATGGAATCTTGCTTTGTCACTCAGACTGGGGTGCAGTGGCACGATCTTGGTTCACTGCAACCTCCACCTCTCAGTCAAGCGATTCTCCTGCCATAGCCTCCTGAGTAGCTGGGACTACAGGCATGTACCACCACACCCAGCTAATTTTTGTATTTTTTTTAGTAGAGACGGGGTTTCACCATGTTGGCCGGGATAGTCTTGATCTCTTGACCTTGTGATCCACCCGCCTCAGATTACCAATGTGCTGTGATAACAGGCATGAGCCACCGCCCCCAGCTATTTGGGTCTTTATGATGTGTTTTCAAAACATTTCAAAGAACTTCCTTCTAGTTTACCAAATGTCTCTTTTAAGTTATGCCTCTTCTTGTATTAAAGCCAACCACTGGGTTTTAAAGTTAATGATGTTTTCTCAATCAAATGTAATTTATTTTTTCAAATCTATTTGGTCATCTAAAGAGATTATTATCCCTTAAACAAACCTTAAGTCTCTCTTGTTATTTCTTAAGTACATTATGCATATAACTAAGGATTCCAACATCTGGATTTCAGGGGATTATAATTCTTCTATCTATTGTTTCTGCTCATTTAGGCAAATGGTACTTGTTTTCTCCTACTCCTCTTCCTCCCTCTTTTTCTTTTTATCCTCTTTGTCTGTCTGTCATTTTTATCCTTATCCTTATGCTTATTCACATTCTTTACTGAGACCTCACTTTTGTTAAAATTTTATCTGTGGAACTATGTTTGATGGCCAAGGTTGATGGTAAATTCTTCTTGAGAGGATTTATCTTTGCTTATTTGCTTCTGTGAAGGCAACACCACAGAACTGCTTGAAAGACTGTCTTCAGTTGTGGTTGTTTCTTTTTGAGACTACTAGACAGTATAAATTTAATCTATGAACACATGACTTGCAAACATCAGCTTCAAAATATGAATTCCCTATAAAATATATTTTCCTCATTCCCAGAAATTTTTCTTTCTGCTCTTACAATTGCCTGAGAGAGCAAGGCTGCTGGGTAGAACAAGGAGGGAAATTGGTTCCTCTATGTTTTGCAAAAAGTCTCTTATTAGCCCCTTTCCTACTCATTCCTATAAACCCACAGAAATGAGTTCACTCTAAACAGAAATTTCAAATGTCCCTGTTAGAAAAGCTTTCTAAAATGCACTAGACACTTAGTATTTTATATTAAAGAATATATGTAGCTTTCACCTCTGTAAAGTTTATCAACAGAAGTTGGTAAAAATATTAGCTATAATAATGCCCAAATATTGTCTTATTAATTCACTGGCAACAGTGTTATGTGCAAACTACAGAACAGGGGGTGTGGAAATCATTGAAAAATTCTCAAAAACTGTTTATTTGTTTACCACTTTATTATAGCAGATATTCACACACACTCTGGCTCTCAGCATAGCATCATTATGGGAAGGCCAGAACAAAATGTGATATTTTTGTCACCATCACAAACTTTGTTAAGAACCATGTTTAGCTTTCAGTAACACGTACACACATATATATGTGACATATATACACATATGTATATATACACACATACACATATATAGATGTGACATCCTTCATGGAAACTATGATGTGTATGTGTAATTTAGAAATACATATATATGTATTTACTAAATACATAAATACATACATATATATGACATCCTTCATGGAAACTATAATGTATACACACACATACACACACACACACACACACACACACACACATGCACATATATATATGGCATCCTTCATGGAAACCATGATGATGTGTGTATGTGTGTGTGTATACATTATAGTTTCCATGAAGGATGTCATATATATGTATGTGTGTATGTATTTAGTAAATACATATATATGTATTACATACACACATACACACACACACATATATGACATCCTTCATGGAAACTATGATGTGTGTGTGTGTGTGTGTATACATATATGTGTGACATATATATGTGACATCCTTTATGGAAACTATAATGTGTATGTGCAATTCAGTAATACATATATATGTATTTACTAAATACATATACACACACACACACACACACACACACACACATATATATATGTGACATCCTTCATGGAAACTGTGATGGATGTGTATGTGCAATTTATTTGAATAGCAATTATTAATGAGCACTTCTCATGTGTGATAAAATATATTAAATGGTAGCATTACCACAGTGGATGAGAAAGCCATGATCTTTGAGGGAGATGAAGTGGGACAAATAATTTAATAGAGTTAATCATAATAAAAATAGTAAACATTAAAATTTACCCAAAAGAACATGGCCTGAGTGATAGATCTGAAAGGGAAACCAGGTATTCTGGGCCAAAGGTCATTATCACTGTTCTGTTTCGATCCCAACAAAAGTAGCGCCCACCTGACCATCCAGAGTTCAACAGAAACATTATATCAACACCCCACAACCATTGATCAGAGCTTCTCCCAGTTACTGCAACTCCTTAAATGTAAACACCTGATTTGTATCACCATAGATTCGTTCTTTTTTTAAAATAATTTCATACCGATGGAGTCGTAAAAGATGCATTATTTTACACCTGACTTCTTTAGTTAAAAATCATATTTCTGAGAACTATCCATGCTGACGTTAGAGATATTAGTTTATTTTCCTTAGTTTTATTCTATCATATGAATATTCTATAATCCTTTGTTTATTTCGTGCTGATGAACATTTGAATTATTTCTAGTTTTTGGCTATTTCTACAGAATTACTAAAAGGGTTTCTGATGAGTATAGACCTGCGGGTGGTATTAATAAACTAGCAAATACCTTTGTTCGCCTTTGGCCAATAACAACACAGGTTTTCTAAATTGGTTATATCAATTTGAAGTCTCCAAGGTAATAAACTAGAAATTCTGATACTTACAAATTAAGATATTTAGTATTGTTGTAAAGTTTTAGCCACTCTGGTGAGTGTTTTTCTTATCTCATTTTAGTTTTAATGAGGATTCTTCTGATTTTTAAAAAACGTTATGCGTATTTGTCATATGTCTACCCTGTGTTTTTCAAGTGTTTGTTCAAGAATCTTGCTCATATTTCCATGGGTTCCCGTTTATCCATCCATCAATCATCCATTTGTTTTAAATAGTTTTTGCAAGGAACTTTCTTTTTCATTCTCATTACAATCAGTAGACACATATTTCATTTTTGAGGTGACTTTCTTTAACAATAATAATTGTAAAGCAAACATTGTCAGTGAGGTTACTTAAGAGTCCACAAGTGTGGACTTAAACTGTGACCACATGTTCTATAATGGTTACAAGTAGATTTATAAAGTTGTGAGATTGTGCTATCATGGGCTTTTCCAAGGAAAAATAACTGAAGGAAATCAGGAAGCCAGACTTTTCTGCTGTATAAGCCCCTTTAGGGGGAAAATCACATAGCTTTGGGAAACTGAATTAACATTTATGATGTTAATACTTCCAGTGGAGTAATGTAGCAACATAAAATAAAATTAAAAAACATAGCATTTCAGTTGGATGTAGTAGGTTGGGTAATGGCCCCTCATAACATAAAGACTTCATTCTTGCAAGCTGTAGGCATGTAAATATTTGCAGATGTGACTAAATTAACCATCATGGCAGGGAGAGAGGATTTTACATTAGCCAGGTGGGCACTAAGTGCAATCACATGTGTCATTATAAGAGGTGGCCAGGGGGAGATTTCCCAGATGGGAAAGGAGGAGTGAATGTGAACACCTTGCATCCAGAGACTGGAGTGATATGGTGGGAAGCCAAGGAATGCCAGCAGTTACCCAGGAGCGGGAAAGCAGAGACAGACTTTCTCTGGAGGGAGTGTGATCTTGCTAACACATTGATGTCACTCAGTGACACTGGTTTGGAACTTCTGACCTCCAAAGCTGTGAAAGAATACATTTCTGTTGTTTTAACCCACCAAGTTTGTGATAATCTGTTACAACAACAACATGAAACTAATACAAGATTCAAGATATTTTAGAAAATAAGAGATAAAAATAGGCCTGAGCAATGTTCTCTGACAGAACTTTGTACAAAGATGTAGATGTTATCAGCATGCTCTAGCCACTAGCTGCATGTGGCTACTAGCACATGAAATGTGCTAAGACAACTGTGGAACTAAAGTTTTAATTTGATTTAATTTTTAATTCATCTGAATTCAAATTTAAATAATGTGACTACTGGCTACCATATTAGACAGTGCAGCTTAGAGGAAACAAAACATCTCACTATTTTTCTTCCATGTCTTTTTATAACATAAAGGACCTAGACAAGTTACTCTTTAAATGTCGGTCTCTATTCTTTTTTCTTAGTTTGGAAAATGAAACTTTAATCATCCTAAAAACTGTCTTTACTGTAAAAATGTAATGACCAGTCATCTTATTAACCACACAGTCTTAGTCTGCTTTGTGTTACTATAGCTAAATATCTGAGACTGGGTAATCTATAAAGAACACATATGTATTTCTTCCAGTTCTGGAGGCTGTGGAGCTCAAGGTCAAGTGATGTGTGAGGGCCTTCTTTTTGCATCATCTCATAACGGAAAACAGAGCCCTCACAACCTATTCGTGTCTTAAAA